CGGCTTCAGGAGGCACAATTTACATTTGCCTCCATAGACTTTTTAAGATTGAAAGCAATCTGTTTCCACCATCTGAATAAAATGCCACTCTGATTCTTGTTTGGTACCCTGTTAGCAACTAGACTTGCTAGAGGGTTTCTGCGAGGCTCTCCCCACAAAGCCCTGCAGCTAAGGACTCAGTGAAGCTTGCTAATATTTTGACTTTGTAGGGCTGCAATTTTTTAAACCTTTTCTTACCACCATAACAGGACTTGTATGGCACTGACTTAGGAAAGTGTGTCATTAAACATGTATAGGGTCCCATTGTCTCCTCTCTCCCTGGAGGAGTCCAGGCAGTTGCTGCTGCTGCTGTCCCTGGTCTCTGAGCTCCTCACCCCCACGCCAAGGAGAGGTGCCTCCTCACACTGCCCTACAGAGGCCTGGGAAGCCCCCCCTGGCCAGCTCCAGAGGGAGGGAAGGAAAGAGGGACAGAGGCCAGTGATCTCCACAGTACCCCTGACCATCATTCAAGGCACCACAGGGTGTCATGGCACACTGATTGAAAACCACTGGTTTACACCTACACATCCATAGCAAAAAAACTAAACACAAAACATATTTAAAACATGATGAAAACTTGCTTCCAGTTGTATAGTTTTTCTCCTCCCAAATATCAGTTTGACGATTCATTATCCAAAACATTTCCCCCCCCTAAATTAAAAGAAAAAAAGTATTCCAGCCAACAGACAAAAATGATTGTGCATTCAAGCTATATCCCCTGTTAGACTTTGCGTCACCTGCTCTACCTCATCCAGCAGCTGCTGCAGCTTTTAATGAATGAATGCAGGGAAATGCTTATTACAGAGTTTGTTGCAACACATACACAAGCCATCCACCATTGCAAAAGCAAAATGATTAAGTGAAAAAACAGATATTTATTATAGAAAGAGATTCGCTGTTGCATGCTTGTTCACTCTCACTAGCAAGGTCACAAAAAAATACTAAGCTAAACAAATGAACAGCTCCTCAGATTAGGAAATACTCCCTGTTTCTTATCTGGCCTTCAGGGAAACAGCTCAGTGTATGATTCTGATATGCTAATCCTACCACATAAGGTTGTTTCTGAAGCAGCTCTAACTCCTTCCCTATCTGCTATAGTAGTTCTTCTGGACAGGCCTCCTAGCAACAGATGGAGCAAGAGCTTTCCTACTAGGACTGACTTTTAGGCAGCCCAATCTGTCACTTTTTTTCTGCTTAGAGACACATGGGCAGGACCTCTTTGCCATAGCTGTACTTTTGGATTAGGATTAGCCGAGTAGTAGAGAGATCTGATCGCCCAGAGAACAGACAGTTGAAAGAAATGCTTCTATAAATATAAAATGTATACACTCCTGAGTATTTAGACGTGAGCAATAGTGAATGGAGAAGGGGGGACTCTAGTTGTGTGTCTTTCTCTTACCATAACCAGAACCTTCACATCTCCAGTTTGGAGAAAGGGCACTCAGGCAGGATCATGAATCTGCCATTCCTCATTTTGCAAGCTGAACCATGGCAAATATCAAACTAGTTTGCCTGGGAGATTTGTGCTCCACTAGATTCACCTGACCAAGTATGAAGCTGCTGCCACTGAATGTCTGTGAAAATCAGCCCACCAGTACGAAATCTGCCCAAAGTGGAATGACCCAAAATCATGCTTCAGAATGAAAAGCCCAGTCAGAGAAATGGAGGTGTCCAGCTGCAGGTCCACCTCACTGCTGAAAGACCTGGTGTTGCCCTCTGAGCGCCTTTTATGGGGTAGATAAATATTAGTCAAGTCTGATGTGAAATTTAACCACATGCCGACAGTCTGTCAACAACTGTGGATGGAAAAGATGGCCTATATATGTACATATTTTAACTGAGAACACCCTAAGCGGAAAATATATGGAAAAATGTTTTGGCAGTGTCCTCCTATAATATGTCTCTATTTATTTTATTTTGCCTCGGCACTGAACAGCTTGACATTACTTATGCTTAATCATGCTGATGAGAGATAGAATCAAGTGTGCTGGGAGGATGGCATGCAAGCTGTTCCCAGCCTGGGTGTTGCAATAAACACAGAATACTGGCTCCAGCCCCACTCCCCTTTCCACTATACTTTTAGTGCATGCAGCAATTAAAACAGCATATTGCATGTGCCTCTTAATTACGGCAGAGGAGCCCCAGGCCTCTGTCTCTGCTACACAGAGTCTTTGCTGGATGGGTCTGCAATTATTTTTGGTCCCTTGTCAGTTCTCACTCTGCTACAGAGGAAAAGATGGATTTGCAGGTGTGTAAAAATCAGATGTGTTCATGCAAAAGAAACACTCAGTTAGGTAGGTTTATAAAGGCCCTTAGATCAGAGTGAACAACCATATATATTCAAAAATTATCAGTGAAATATTACTGAATCTAGACATTAAGGTGAGTGCTCCTCAAGCTGTTGTCCCTGTGCCATTTGTGTTCAGTTACATGCTTGTGAATTATATCATTGCACCATTCTGTAGTTTAGCCATCCAGCTGTTATCATGGCAGAATGATTATAGCATGCACACCACCCCAATCTCTGAATGGTATAAGATTCCAGGGGTTCCAGGTGCTTATCTGGGGTTTAGTTTCCTCAGAATGAGGGACAGTGCAGACGGTGATGTCTTTATGATATATGGTTTATTTACACACATATACAGCCTAAGCCTACAATAAGGGGGGGGGGTGGTTCACAACATTAACACCCAAAGAGGGTCTTGCTTCTCCCATAGCCACAGCCTTGGATTTCATCGGAAATCAAGCATGCTTCTGTTTCCCAGCTGCTCAGCCTGCAGCCTTGCAACTCCCAACTCTGCCCTTTTGTCTTTCTAACTCCCATCTGCACAGGGCCACTTCCTTGGTTACTTTAATGGTCCATATTTAGGCTATTACCTCACCAGGAAGCTAGCCTGGCAATTCCAGGAATTGAATCTATGCTGGATCCAGGAATTAGAAGGGGGCTCAGACACACTGTACATCTTACTCCTCCCTCAGCTCATAACAATATGTTCAGTACATGGATGCGTCCTCCTTTGTTGGCTCTCACAGCTGTATTCAAAGATACAATCCCAGATGGCGTTTCAGGCAATATAGCTTCCAAGGACATTTAAGAAATGTAAAGAATTGGTTGTGTTTCTTCAGTACATCTGCTGCCATCAAGACAGAGCTTGAGTGAAGAGCAGGTGAGAAGTCATTTCCATGACAGTGCTGTCTTGAGTACATAATAGAAGAGACGCCTAGTTAAATCAGCTCAAAGGTTTGTTTAGTCCAGGTTTTTCTTTCGCAGTGTCCAATTCCAAATGTGTGTGAGAAGCCCACAAGCAATATATCTTGCTGTTTTTCTTTTAATTCTTATCATTCTCTTATTTTTCTGTTTATATTATTGTTGTTAGCTGTTCTGAGCATCAGAGAAGAACTGACGACTACAAATGAACCACATGACTAGGATATTTAATAGAGTTATATCCCACTTTTACTCCATGGAGCTGAAGAGGTTATTCATTTCCCTGTGTTCTATCTTCACAACAACCCTATAATAAATTATAATAATAATAAATAATAATAATTTTTTATTTATATCCCGCCCTCCCCAGCCGAAGCTGGGCTCAGGGCGGCTAACAACAATAAAATGAAGTAGGATAGGCTGAAAGAGTGTGATTGACCCAGGTTTTCTGGCTAATTGAGGGTTTGAACTCTGGTTTCCTAAGTCCTAGTCTGGTCCTCTAATAAAATAATAATAATAATAATAATAATAATAATAATAATAATAATATATTTATTTATACCCTGCCCATCTGACTGGGCCTCCCCAGCCACTCTGGGCAGCTTCCAACAAAAAATTTAAATACAGTAATGCATCAAACATTAAAAGCTTCCCGAAACAGGGCTGCCTTCAGATGTCTTCTAAAAGTCTGGTAGTTGTTGTTCTCTTTGACATCTGGTGGGAGGGTGTTCCACAGGGCGGGTGCCACTACCGAGAAGGCCCTCTGCCTGGTTCCCTGTAACTTGGCTTCTTGCAGCGAGGGAACCACCAGAAGGCCCTCAGCGCTGAACCTCAGTGTCCGGGCAGAACGATGGGGGTGGAGACACTCCTTCAGGTATACTGGGCCGAGGCCGTTTAGGGCATTAAAGGTCGGCACCAACACTTTGAATTGTGCTCGGAAACGTACTAACCACTCTACACGATGGCTAAAACAAAGGAGGAAATAATTTCCGCTTACACTGTGTTCTTACCTAGTGAAATACATTGAAGCTGTTTTGTTGCCAGAATAACCAAAATAACTAGATTGAAATTGTGCTTTCCTTCCCCACTGTGTGTAAGGGGTCTGGACTGATGCTAGCTAAACTGAAGGTAATTAATCACAACACTTCCTACAGGTGCAATCCCTCCATTGCCCTTTAGTCCTCTGTCAGGCAACTGCTTGCAGTAATTATTGGCTATGGTTGAACTGTCACAAATCATTTGGATGCTGCATTGTTTCTGGCAGAAGTGTGGGGGCTGTCTAGCTAATAAGCAATACAGATACTTCCCTTGTTATCTCTGACTCTTTTTAAACTGATCCATTCAATGTATGTGCGATCATACACATCTGCTCGCGTACACACACATACAGTACAGTATGCTGTACAGTTTCAAAGGGAGTCAGACTGCATTGGTGTTAAAATGAAGCCTCTGATGTACCCCAGTGTTGACCTATGAAGTCATAGGCCAATGGATTTCTTGCTTGCTATTCACTGCTATGTCTGCCTTGCTTTAGGTAATGCCTTAGGAAAATGGTATAACTCTAGTCATTGAGCATCTCCTTTGCTCAGTCATAACTGGATATGTAATACATGCTATATTCGAACAGTCCAGTAATTCATCAAGTCAAAATCCTAGCTGAGAGATCATTATCACATTCCAAATATTTTACCATCTTCCTCCCTTTCCTCCCTCCCCTTCCTCATGACAACCTTGTATTGTTCCCATTTTGCAGTGGCTTCCTGACCCCTCCGGGTTACTCTACACTATGAATAATAATACAAATGAAGAAGAAGAAGAAGAAGAAGAAGAAGAAGAAGAAGAAGAAGAAGAAGAAGAAGAAGAAGGGCTCTTTCTACCAATCAGGGCAATAGCCACTGCAGCAGCAGTACTGGGAAGTGACTGGATAAATTGGTCCATGCAAGGAAACATTTCATTGTTGTCAACACCTCAGACTCATTCCTGTAGCATGAAGAAATTGATTGCAGGCAAAGTTAATACCAGCTCTGTGCCTTATACATGGCCCCTATGGATGGAGCTAGTGGTGTGGGAGTTAGGCTCTGAGCCCAGGTGCCTGGGCCAGATAGCTTATCTCCTCTGCTGAGAGTTACTTCAGCTAGTTTTCCTTTTACTGTCTCCTCATAGCAACTGGAAGTAATGTAATCTTAAGGTAGCTAAGTGGTAAAAAATATGGTCATTTTCAAAACATAGAAATGCACTTTTTCTCCACCACATGAATTTATGCATCCCATACAGAAAATGCGAAATTTACATGCATGTGACATGTCAGTTGAGGCCCACAAAATAAGAATTAAAGAGAACAAACCGCATCGTGGAATGCTAAATGTGCAATTCATAACCTAAACCCGTCCTGGAGCAGATACAAATACTAAGCAGCTGATAGGGCATTCAGAAACAGAACAATACTCAATCACATCAGAAACAATGCTATCTTGTATGGAGAGAGGGCCTGAGAAAACTAGCAGGTATGATTCCAAGGGGAAGTAGATGCTCCTCCAGTTTCAATCATAGTATATTAGATTTCTTATACTGTATAACATTTGAAGCATATAAGCATTTAAATCCTTGCTTTCCTAATTATACTCTGTTTTGTTAATTTGTCACCCCTTTGCTTTTCTAAGCTAGTCTTTATGGAGCTGCCCTGGAAACTGGTCATAACTAAACATTTTCCCCCAATTACAGTTTCTCAAAGCAATGTAGAAAATCAGAGCATGGGAAAGTAAAACTGGAATAAATTACGTTTTCACCTTTGTGAATGGAGTAACATGCTCTCGCTCATTCTGTGAACAGGTTTTTTTAAAAAACGTGTCAGTGGTTTGTTTGTAAAACAGCTCCCTATGAACCACATTGAAACTGTTAGCTGTTTAGAAAAAAGAGAGTATTGCGTCGTTATTCTCCTTCCCTGTAGACAATGGAGATCTTGAATGCATGTGAAATATTTCACTGCAACCTAAGTACTAGATCTACTGTGTCAGTTCTGTATCCCCTCCAGCTTACTAGTATCTAAATGCCAGCAATGGAAAAAAAGAAACTGGTGTCCACAAGAGTCAGATCTGACAGGCTGCCTTTCTGTAACTCGTTCCTGGCCTACAGCCACACTTCCATTGGCTCAAGTCTTCTGATTCAATATCATATAAGCTAAGCAGAATCGGCCTGAGCACTGTTATGAGTTTAGACTGTTTACATTACTGTCAATGGGCAACCAGCCAGGGAGTTTAACAAAAGAACAGTAATGTTCCTTGAAGGCTGGAAGGCTTTCTCCAGCTTTGGGGGAGGTGACACTCTTTAGCTAGGGGGAGGGGGGCAAAGAAACAGTTTGGAACCACTGTTTCCATTATAATTTAGAGACGGGGTGGGGTGGGGGGGGGGGACAGAGAGATAAATATTTTAGTTGGACTTAGCTACAAGGAGTTTAGATCAGTACTATGTCAGAGTCAGTCTTACCATTAAGCAGGGTTAGACAGCTCCCCTCCGGTGGCAGGATTTGGGGAACTATTAAGCAGCGAGTTGCCAATTGTTCACCCATCTGTTGTTACATTTTTACCACAATCACAGGTTCCATTTTTGGCTGTTTTTTTTGGTACTCGGTATTAAAATTGTATCCAGAGTGTTTGGCTTTTGTGCACATTTGATTTGGGTTTCTGGACAAGATGGCTTTCTTTCTGTCTGAGTTTAAATTACAGCATTCCTAAGTGAACATTCGGGTAGAAACTAGCTAAACAAAGCGTTCGCATTCCCAAACTATTGTAATTTTGCATGATAAAAAGTGTGATGTTACTCAGCTGTCATGGAAAAAGGGAGACATATTCTCTCAAGGAAGAACTTCAGTTGCATGGAAATTGCAATTACCCAACAGAAATATACAAAATGGTGGGGGAAATGCCATTCCCCCTCTGCCAGTTAATGGGCTCGTTGTGACCATTTGTGCAGCTTGAAGTGTGGTTGCAAAGACATCACAGCCACCTTGTGGCTAATGCTATGACACCACAGAGACAAGCAATGCAACTTGGCAGCCACACCCAAACTTCTCACCAAAACAGTAATTAAAATGACTGGCTACTCAAGAACTTTTTAAATAACGTCTTGAAGAGATGCTTGAAAGCCCAAAGTAAGGATGCAATTTCTGTTTCCCAGCCTAGTCAGGACAGGACTCTGGACAGAAATCCAGTGCCCCACTCAGGAGAATGACCATGAAACCCCCAAATAAGGCCACACTAGCTTACCACGGGACGCGGGTGGCGCTGTGGGTAAAAGCCTCAGCGCCTAGGGCTTGCCGATCGAAAGGTCGGCGGTTCGAATCCCCGCGGCGGGGTGCGTTCCCGTTGCTCGGTCCCAGCGCCTGCCAACCTAGCAGTTCAAAAGCACCCCCGGGTGCAAGTAGATAAATAGGGACCGCTTACTAGCGGGAAGGTAAACGGCGTTCCGTGTGCTGCGCTGGCTCGCCAGATGCAGCTTGTCACGCTGGCCACGTGACCTGGAAGTGTCTTCGGACAGCGCTGGCCCCCGGCCTATAGAGTGAGATGGGCGCACAACCCTAGAGTCTGTCAAGACTGGCCCGTACGGGCAGGGGTACCTTTACCTTTACCTTAGCTTACCACATTTGGAAGTAATTGATATAATACATATTACCATCTAAAAAGAGAGAGGTGGGCATTACCATCTGAAGGGAATGGAGGCATAAGTTCAGAGTCTGAAATGATCTAACTGCTCTACTTTTATTGTTATTGTTGGGTTATTGTTGCTGTTTGCATGTTGACTTATTTTTTATTTATATATTTTACAAATGTAGCATGGGGGTAACTGTGTTTGGCAAAAAAAAAATCCCAATCAAAATAAAAATCTGAGGTTTAAAAGTGGTTTTAAGCATACAAGAAATTGTGTATTTTGAACTGGCTATTGAAGACCATCTTGGCAGCCTTCTGAGGGCTCAACCCCTCTACCTTCCTTAGACTCATAGGAGCCAATGCCTAGAAGAAGAAGAGTTTGGATTTGATATCCCGCTTTATCACTACTCGAAGGAGTCTCAAAGTGGCTAACATTCTCCTTTCTCTTCCTCCCCCACAACAACCACTCTGTGAGGTGAGTGGGGCTGAGAGACTTCAGAGAAGTGTGACTAGCCCAAGGTCACCCAGCAGCTGCATGTGGAGGAGTGGGGAATCAAACCCAGTTCACCAGATTACGAGTCTACCACTCTTAACCACTACACCACACTGGCTCTCTTTGGCTTCCCCAATAAAATACTTGAGAGGGCTGGGACCTCACAAAGTTGATGGGCATTGCCATTTAAATGGTGTGTGATTGATTATGCAGGGCAGAGCTTACCTGCCCCCCCTATTTTACTCAAGCTGGTGCCTCTGCTTAGAGTTATTGTCAGGGCATGCCTACGGGTTGGTTAAGTTGGCCCCCTCCAAGGGCCCAGGCCCAGTGGGGCTCAAAAATCACAAAAGAAAGATGAAGAGAGCTGTGATTGCCAAGGATACAAGGGACTGGAGCGCCACCAATACAACTCTTTGCCAAAGGTGCGAGGGAGCCAAGGTATGACTCTGGTGAGATTTTATGCCCCCTCGGCTGGTGCCCCTCACCTGGCACACACGCCTCTAGCTTCCAGTGCACATAGTTAATGCACCTATAACACATGGTGATTATAGTATTTCTTTCCAGATGCTTTGATTAAAAAGAGAGAGAATTACTCTAAGCATTGTTAGTCTTTCCATTGATAACAAATTAAACTGTAGAAACCACTCAGTACACTAATCTACCCTTTTCTTGCTTCCTTCAAGTTACTCTCCGATTTGCAAGTTGCTAAATACACGAACTCAATACCTTTGACTTAGATATTGTTTGTGATGAGGGCTCAGTTCAGAAAAATGTTGTTTTGAAATGTAAAAGCTCTCAGGCATTCATAGCAAATCCACATCCTCCACTCCCTCCTCACCCATTATTCTGCCACCAAGTTCTCTTTCCATTTCAGCCAGACCGCCACAAAGATGCACTGAAAGCCCATCTATTTCACTGGAAAGGAAATAATGTTGCTGGCAGGCATTCTCTTAAGGAAAATTCATGGGGTGTTTAATTGGACCAAAAGTCTGCCCATCTGTACTGTTGAGGATACACAGGGGCCCCCAGACACACACATTGAGGATTCAGGTAACTGCCAGAGACCAGGAATGTAAACAGAAAATTGCTCAACACATCCTAGTCTCTCCTTGTTGATACTACCCATAGCTTTCTCTCTGGTGAGGAACGAAAGGATAGCCCTGCCTCCTTTCCTTGAAATGTCTTGTCTGCTGGGGGGAAAGTGAAGTTGATTCTCATATACAAATACGTGTGGGTGTGGGCTACTTCGATCGAATCTGAATGTGGAGGGAGCGGATTAATAGCTAAATAATGCTCAGATGTGGACACGCCCAAACCATGGTTCATATGTCTCTTATCAGCCTGTGTGGGCTGATGTGACAAGAAACTCAAACGGAAATGAAAAGCAGTGTACATTTCCCTTCACTGAAGCAGGAGACAGACCCCCTGGTGTAGCAGCCAGTGTCTCATAATGAAAAAGTGGCAAGGAAATGACTGCATGAAAGAAGTGATGACATTGGAAGACTTGCTTGCCAACCACCCCCTTTCCTTTACTTATTGACAAAGCATCATCAGCAGAGAGCTTGTGGACTTCTCCAGATGAGCTGTTTATTGCGCATTCATTCCGATTTGCTTGCACAGAACTTACAGGGAGGTTATACATATGACATCTGCTTTCCCTCTGATTTGCTGGTGTGGAAGTTATACAACAATGAGCATTCATCTTGATTTCATCCTGAATTGTGTGTGCAGAAGTCATATATCATCCTGTCATCCTAATCGCAAAAAAACCCCCACATTTTTTTTAAAAAATAAATTTTTAAAAATCAGCAAGTGGATTTGCTGCACCAGGGTGCTTTAATCCACTTTAATTGTGCAAACCTACATTCCCTAAACCTAAAATGGTTCCAGTCTGGAGCAAACAGTGCCTTTTCATTTTTCAAGCTCCTTGCATTCGATTGGGATATGAGCCAATTTGTTTCCACTTTTGAGAGATCATTTCTAGGTCAGCCTGAGGACAGCCACGGGAGTATTCATCCATTCATCCATCTCTATATAGCAGTGAGGTGGTCTTCTTGAATGGATCAGCCATTCCTTTTGCTTCGATGCACCCAGAGGAACCAGACCAGGAAACATCTTGTTTGCCCTAACTATTACATCAGAGCTGGACCACAGTTAGTTTTTGCAGTTTCCTTTGGGAGCTTGGAACATCAAGTCTGCAGAAATGTTTTCAGAGTAACTCATGAGGAAAACACTAGAGCCTGTGACCTTTCATGGGGAGGATATCCTGATTAATTTAGATGTAGGCTAGGACCTTCCTAATTCCACTTCCTCGGATTTTGATTGTTTTAAAATTCCTTCCCTGTGCAGAAGAAGTTTCTTGTCCATGAAAAATCCCAGCAGGCACCTTGCCATGGCCTATGATGTCATCTCCAGAAGAAAAAAGAAGAAATGCTTGGAAAATAATGCTATGCATAGGAGCAGGAGAGAATGGAGTGAGGCAAGTTACTCACACATACATATGCACTCTCCTCCTCAGAGATGAATTGTCATGAGCCCTGAATTTACCAGTTATCTGGACACAGAGTCAGAAGCTGCAGGAACACCAGATGAGGTGCTGGATCAGATTCAGAGCTCAGAACTGACTGCTGAAGATAAGAGACCATTGTGTCTTAGGCTGTTGGACAGGAGCACCCAGAGGAAACTCCCAGACCACCCC